AAAAAAATTTTCCAAATTCACTTATTAATTTTTTTTATAATTAAAAAATTAAAATTAGTCATAAATTTAAAAGTTGCAATAACTTTTTTTTTGGTCTAATACTTTTGACCGGGAAGTGTATATTAAATACATTGGCAAAAAACCTTACCTTCTCTTTTATTAATGAATCTATTAAGATCACATCACCTGCTGTTACACTTTCTACTCACAAATACATAGCCCTATCAAGTTTTAGAAACTTGATCCTTTATTTTTGTAAATTTTCTTAGAACTTTCAATATCTAACGTAAAACTCCACTTTTTATTTTGTGATAATATCTTTGTTACTGTATTATGATAAATATTTAAAATTGGATTTTTTTCATTAAAATGGTTAGCAATTTCTTCATGATTTTTATTTTTATTATTTTTTGACTATTCATAAATTTGATACTTGAGGATAATACCTATAGCTGAACAGTATTATTTAGATCAATCAAGAGGTATTATAATATTTAAAAAATTAAAAAGGATAACTAACAATGATAATTGTAATATCATTATAAACCACTACTTAAGTTAGAATAGTAAGAATATAAATTTATTAGAAGAAGTTTATCATAGATAATAAGAGATTATTCAGAAATAATTTTGAAAAGATGTTTTTAAAAAAATCAATAATATTTTAACTACTTAATATTTCTAATAAAAGCATATTGACATTTTAAATATCACTTTTTTTATTGATATGAATGATGTGAAAAAAAAACTATTGTCACAGAATGAAAATGATTATGCTATTGATTTTTTCTACTTTAAATATATTATGTAATACATTTTCTCTCATATTATATTTTAAAATTAAGATTTTATATCAAACTTTTTTGATCTGCAGCTAATCAAATCTCTTCAATATAAGCTAATCAGAAATCTATGACTATAAAAAGTCTAATTACTAATAAAAGTAATATGCACATTATAGATCACAAGATAATAATGACTATAACTAATTTGTGATTATATAGAGGTAATTTAATAAGCTTTAAATCTGTTCTGCAAAAATGAGTTCTTATATAAAAGTATGATTAAAGATGGTCATCACAATTGAAAAAAATAGCGCAATTGAGTTGCAACTTGTAGCGCAATTAAATTTCCTTATGGTGCAATTAAGTTGCAACTCAATTGAAATTTGAAAATAATTATGAGGACCATCTTTATGTGTGATATATATAGTATGACTATATAGAGGTCTGATTATACTTAAAATATATTATAAATTAAATGAAATTAAAATTAAAATTCGAGATATAGGATATAGGATATAGGATTTTAAATATAATATGAGATTCTATAGTATGAAATATGGATAACAACTATAGGTTGATGTTGTTTTTTTAGCTTTATAGCATGATTTGATAAAATCTTTGCTTTTTTGTAAGCTAGTAAAATCCAAAGGCTTTACCTCTAAATTTAATATGAACATATTATCGATATAGTATAAAAAATCAAGACATTTTTTAAATGCATTAACAACCCGATTTAGTTTAACTTTGTAAGGTGTATATAGCCTACTAAAAATCAGTTTAAGCAATGAATTAAGGAAGAGAAAGTGGTATTCATCTTCTAATGTTTTTATTAGGCTAATTAATAAAAGATCATTAGAGTTAAAAATCAAGCAAGTATCAGTGAGCTTATTTTGATTATAATTTGCATAATACCAAATATATTGTGTTAAAGAAAGTTAACTTACATATAATCAAATATTTTCTTAGTTATAATCCTGTATTTAAGACTTTTCTTAAGTTTGAAATTAGCGTCGAATCTAATGCTTTTTTATACAAGGTATTATTCAATGAAGAAGAAAGGTATTCATCAAATAGTGAAGTCTTTAATTTATATAGATTACTATTCGTAATTAGCATTCTTTTTTAAAAATAAAATAATCATATTGACACAGCCAATCAATTATCATTATTGATGCTAAAGAACTAAATGTAGAAGATAAGATAAGTATAGTCTAATATAATGAAAGATGCAATTATGTAAGCATAAGTTTAAAGTTCACAATACTAATAAGATTTCAGTTATATCATTTCAACTGAACTTTCTAAACTGTTTTCTTAATTCATATACAAAGTCCAATTGATATTTTTTAAATTTTGATGTAATATTGATCACATCTACAATCCACTATTTACAAAAATAATAATGAGATCTAATAAAAAAATAACAATACTCAATTTAATTCTATCTTAAGTTCATCTTTTTTTCTTATCTCTCATTCTAGAGTGTCATAATCAAACATTAAATACTCGCCTGAGTTCTTATCTATGTTTCTATCAGAATCTTCTTTATTCTTGTTAAACTAGGGATGGGAATGGTTCTATTAGTTCTATTTCAGTTTCTCTTTAGTTCTACTTGACTCTTCTTAAGTAAATTAAACTTTAAGCATTAAGTTAAATTTATACTAATAGAGCATTATGTGATGATTAATTTAAAAAATTTTTTGACTGGTTATCAAAAAAATTCATCTTATTATATCTTTAATTTGATAATAATCTGATTTTAAGCTGACTCTTGAAACCAATCTAGAATCAGTTCCAGTTCGATTTTTAAAATTGGTTAAAAATATTTTGTAACTCAGGAAAACCAAAATATGTTAAATTTATAATCAGTTCCAGAACTAACTCAAAGTTGTTATTTTTAAACTATCACCATTCTTATATTCAACTTATTGTTTATTTCTTAATTGCTAATCAGATTGAGAACAGACACACTTGTCTCTGTGAAGTTATTCATTATATAGTGTTAACATAACGAAAAAGTAATAAAATATTTGTTATATATGAAAGAGATTCTGTAAAACTTTACTGATCCACTGTGGTGAAGTGCAGATATTATAATCATTATTATAATGCTGAGTCATGTCACTATTGAATACAACTTCTCTATCTCTTAGATACTTAGATGCTAAGAAGACATCATTTACAGCATCTTCAGAAACTCCTGTATTATCTAATCCAAGTAATGGAGAAATACTTTCTTGTGTGCGAGTACGCTTAACTATATTCTCCTCCTTCTGCTCTAATTCATTCTTATCTAAAAATACATTTTTTATTTCTTTATATTCTACTTTGATAAAAAGGAATTTAACATACTGTTATTGTCTTTTTCATCTTGGTTATCCTGCGAATATTTAGAAGTTCAACATTTTTAAACAATTTTTGACCAATATAATCCTTAGTTTATAGTATATAATCTGAAGATATAGGTGTTTTCATTTATTTCCTTTACTTTATTTCTGGGTCTCAATACTCTCTTTATCAATTATAGGAAAATATGTAATGTATTTTAGCTGCATTTTTATTCTGAATTGAATGTGTCTTATTTTCCTACGTTGAAGTTATCATCAACAAACTAAGCTTGTAAATCATAAAGTAACAGAATCAGCTATTCATGCATAACTTGAATGCATAAATATAAACACAAATATTAATGTCAAATATTGCTAACCGCTGCTTTCTGTATTTGTGCTTCCATATTCACTTTTTTTATAGTTATCCAAAACTTTTTAACCTAATTTGAATGCGCTTCTTCCTTCAAAACGTCAGAGGATTTGTGAAAAACTGTACTTCATGGAATCTTAGATAAAGACTTCACAAGCAACTTGAAGAAGCTCATCAAAGACAACTTCATAATGATCTGAAACATACTTAGGGTCACTTGGTAGTTGCATTAACACTTAGTCTGACTCCTTCTTATCTTCTTCTTGCTGCTATAACACTACAAATATGAGAAATCTTTACTTACTTTTACTCTAACAGACTTAGCTACACATATTCATCTTGCATCATTTGCGAATATGTTCTAAAAATTTAGAGATAAAAAGTATTTTGAACGACTATCACCTGTAAAGTTCTTTCATTCTTTACAGAATTCCAAGATAAATAAGAGACTAAAATTTTTGGAATCTAGTTCTTCTTTCCATCCTCAAAACTTTTCTTGTATTTATTAGACAGAAACCATTAGTGTAATAAAAGTGAGGTTATCTGCATTTCAATTGATTTGAAGTTTGATTTAATTTGAACTTTTTTCTAAAATTTTCTGATTAAAAATTTGAAAACAAAAAAAGAAGACGAAAACCAATAAAACAAAATAATTTTAACTATTAGTTTTGCAATTATACATTCTTTTATTTTTATTTTGAAATTAAATATTAAAAAAAAATTTAATTTAAAGAATTAATCAATTTTCAAACTAAAATTATTAAATATTATTGGCCTAATTTAGGTAATATAAAGAAAGTAGTGCTAGAAAAAGAAACCAAATCGACATCTAACAAAAAAATTTTTTTTATTAAGGAAGGGACAGAAATAATATCATTTAAATTTTCAAAAGTTTCTCCCTTTCTGTCATAGTTGTCATTTAAGAAAATTAAGTTATCACATGATCTAAATTATAAATCCTATTTTGCTGATTAGTAATAATATTTGAAATTCTATTATTTTACAATGCAATTCCAATTTTATTATATTTAAACATTTCTGATTTATTAATCATATAGACCTAGTTGATATGTAAATTACCATAGAATACTGAGTCTAGATGAGGAGTTTCACAGCTAACAATTACATCATAATTTATAATACTATAATAATTAAAATTTATGATTTAACTATTGTAAAATTTATTAAAGTTTTGTAAAAAAAAATTATAAAAAAAAAACTTTATTAGTGTTCATTAAAAATTATTCAAAAACTATAAAAACTATATATTAAATTTTAAATGTAAGATGATCCTATTTTTATAGTCTTTCTTGAGTTTCAACTTTCTTTTTCTTTACCTTTCTTACAAATTTTTTCTGTTGATCCTGTGAATCACAATTTGCTTTCTCTTAAATGAAATATTTTAGTATGTTTTTTTAAAAATGTTTTTGATGAAAAATATTTACAGCATTTTTGATATATAAGATTATTATATAAATTCAGAATAATACTAGACAATATTCATTATAGTCTGATAACTTGTTATTAAAATATTCTAGAGTATAAACCAGACTTAAAAAATGATCATAAAGGTCTTGTACAATTAGTGGTAAAAATTATTATAATTGGATAATAGTTCATAGATTTTGGATGCATGTGGTAGTTTGTAACAATTCTAATCCTGATATTTTCTTAAATCAAGGGAATATTTACAGATCTAGCTATGCTTATTGATCCAATCCCATGATTCCTTATTTATATCTAAAAAATCTTATTGATTGTGCTTCTCGACATATATAATAATAATTAGATAACCATTAATATTATCATAGCTTATAATTCACAAAGTCTCTAACCTACATATTTAAAATTATGACAACCAATATCTTCATTTACAATGGTGACTTTTTCATTAATATTGTTAAGATGATTACCATATGTAAAGGTATTTAATTCAATTTCTGCTAACTTTTCAGAAAGGAATGCTATACTTTTCTTAATTAAATTATATATAGATTGCCTTAGAGTATGCATATGAACTGTGAGATAGTCTAAATCAAATTTTTTAAAAAATAACAAGTACTTTGAAATGTATGCAATGAACTGAGAATTTTTATCTGGTCTATTATTTGTTAGTAAACACTAAAATGGTTTTATAGAATCTTCATGATATGTAAATTTATTATAAGATTTTTCTTTTGTAATTAATATAAGGTTTAATATATGTGTCTCACTAGATGTATTCAAAAATATTCTGGTCAAATTAAAATTCTCAATTTACTAGAACACAATGAATTATTTATATTAGAAGGGTTTATTATTAGATAAACGAATGGTATTAATTTGTGTTTTATAACTTTTAGAAAATTATGATCAGAAATTAACACTGGTTTATTTGTTATTTGCATGGTTTTAAAAGTTCTTTCAATTGCGATCATACTAAGAGGAATCTACAAAACTTGAAAAATTAGAAAATTGTAAACTTTTATTGAAGAAAAGATTGGAATAAATACCTTAGCTTTATTATCTTGAGAAATCAATACAACTTCATTAGGAAAAGCTAATGCGAAGGATTTAGTACCTTTTACAGAAGCTAAACAGTAATATTTATCAAAGTAACTGGCTATTTTATTTTTTCCAACAGACATCAAACTGATTTGTGATGTCAGTATACTTTTCTCATTCTTAGATGCTTAGATTGCATATAATTCTATACAGTAGACTTTATCATATAAACATCATACTTTTCTTTCATCTCTTCTCAAAAGTGTTTGACAGTTAGAACCTTAATTGTTTTTTTGCATCTTTTATGATCATCTACTTTAAATTTGACACAATCATGCATTTTATCCAAAAGCTCAGAATTTTTCATTAAAAATAATGGCTGTTCTAGACATCATAAATCTTAATAATGTTTTCTTTATTCAATCTTTCCTTCTTTTTCTCCTAAGCTTATTTTTGAGCTTCTACATTTTCCTTTAACTTTTTGAATTTCCTTTCATCCAATACAACTGTTTCCTCAAACTTTTTAATTTTGAAGTAAATTGTGAACAGAGTTCTGATGATGTAGCTTATTTTAGTAAATTATTGTATTCATAAAAATCAGCTTTATTCTTTTAAAGATTTGTATATAAGTACCTTTATACTATTATATTTTGTGAAGGATTATTAGTAATGGTTCTAAGGGTTTAGAAGATTCTGAAAGATTGGGGAGTTCTAAAGGGTCTAAAATTTCTAGAACTTTTAAAAATTCTAAAAGTGATTTTAGAGGATTATTTACAGATGGATGTTGTAAAAAAAAGTTAAATACTAAGATTGAACGGGTTGAATAAGTATTTATAGAAATTTAAAAATATGGTTTTAAATAAAGTCTTTACCTTTTATTTTACTTCTTGCTAACTATTTTAAGCTCGTTCATGAAACTCTTATTTGCATAATATTTTATTATTGGTATTCATTATTTTACAGAATATTAAGGTGGCAATCAAAATTATTCAGCTACTTTTCAAATTGAAAAAATGTCATATGTTAAATATAATAAAAATTAAATTTTATGATAAATGTTTTTATTTATGATTTAGTTTATTAATTTATAAAAAAATTTAATAATGAATTCTATTTCTATTTGCAAAAATAACTGTCTCAATTCTTTGAGATATACTATCAATTAATTTTTTAAAATATTCTAGAGAAATATCATTCTATGCATCTTTGATATACTTTTCTAGAACTTTAATATTAGATGGTGGTGGAGTACGTTGATGAATCATCATTTTCATCTCTGTTCAAAGGTTCTTGATCAGGTTAATATTAGGACTTTAGACTAGCCAATCAAGCATTAAACAATTATACGACTTGAGTGTTTGCAATTATAACTATACACAATTGCATCACGTGTTTTTGAAATAAGTGGCTTCATTTTTTTAGAAGATTCTAGAAAAAAATGAAGTTAGGAATATGTTTATCAGAACTATAAGTACAAAATCACATGTTATTTACATTATACAGTCAACTCTTGTTATAACGAACTCTATGTCCTAGACCTCAACTTCGCTATAAGGCTATAGTGAAGATTTTAAGAGATTTGATTGGCCAATTCGCTATAACAAGAGTATTTTTATTATATTTGTTCAAAAAATTCGTTATATCAAGAGTTCGCTATAACAAGAGTTGACTGTATTAACGCGTAATAATCTGCATAATTTTAGCAAAACAAACTGGCTGGATAATTTTGATCGTCGCCTGTAAAAGCATTCATATACTTCTCATAAATATTTCTAGGATTTTAGATGATATGATTATTAGAATACTTTGATTCCTTAAAGTATATTTACTTCATTATAATAATCTAGCGAAAGAAAAAATTATATAACAATTATAACTTTTCATCTACATAGACTTTTTTTCCTTTCTCTCAGGAAAAAATCTATTTTAAGACCCTTCTATAATTAATTAAACCTGATAAAATACGTATTTGTATCAAATTTTTAAAATTATATCACTATTCTAACTTTAAAAGTATAAAAATAAATTATTATATCATGTCATTTTGTTACAGGAACCTTTCTAAAAAAATGGAAATAAATTTTTATATCACGTTATATTTTTGCAAACCCTTCTTCAAAAATGATAATATCTAAAATGAAAAATATATTTTTGTATTATATTATATTATTATAAGACCCCTCCTTTCTTTTACTAAATGATATCATTTCTGGCTCTTTCCTTATAAATCTAATTAAAAAACATTTTTTGCTTAATATAGAAGAATCATTAACATAATAAAATCTTGAATAACTGTTTTATAATATTTTTATTATTATGTATTTGATTTAACTAAATTTAAATTAATCATTAGTGCTGAGAAAAGATATTATCTACTACTATACATTGAAAACTTAAAAAATTTTTTAGTATTTTGTATTATAATCTTGAGAAATTTTTAAAAATTTTTATTTTTTTATTTTTTTAAATACATTAACAGAGGTAAATATTTTAAAAATATTTTTAATATTTAATAATATGGATTTTACTCATAAAATATTTTGTCTTGCA